AAATCACAATGCCCAACTGTGGACATTAGACTCTAATGCAGCTTACTGTCTTCAAAGTTTTGTTTTCATTTGGAAGCTGAACTGGTTCCTGAATTCTTCTAGTTGCCTTCAACTCTTCAAGCTAATGTTTCATTTTTTTCTCTGGACTGGCAATTACTGGGAACTAAACTTTTTTCTAAGACTGCATCTGCATATGCTGTACAGATTTTACCTGAGCACCTGATGACTTCACCAGAGATGTTCAAATTACAGACAAAAAGAACTTGTCAAATTGTCGCTGCTTAATTTTATTCCAGCAAAGCCTTGCTACTGGACATCTTCTGAACTAACAGTCTTGCAGACTCAGAGACTGGATTATGATTTTCTGTGCTCATAAACCTTCATATTCTTCCTTCTGTTTTCATAGGATGTATATTTATGACCTTATTTACCTGGTTGTTTGTTTACACAATAAGCCTCACTTTAAAAGCCCATTTGTATTGCCTCCTCCTGAAATGAGACTCAATGGTTTGGTTGGATTGACTTGTCAGGACTAGATGGTTGAATTATGAAGTATGGAGCAGTCTATCAGCTTCACTTAAAACTGCTTTCTTTTTCTGCCCTTGTGGTTCAGACATAAAAGACCCACAGTTCTTTGGGGGTGGGAATCTTAGAATATTCCCTTCAGCCTAATTAGAGTTAAGTATGGTGGACGAAAAGCTTCAGACAGGTGTGACATGACGTTCAGTTGCTATAGTTCTCTTCATTTTTGGACTATGTCTCTTAAACTCTTGTCAAATTTGTTACCTCTAGAACATAACAAGGATGCCAACTTATCCATCAATGCCATCCTTTGGACATTGCATATGCCACTTCCTAGGGACAGCCAACTGACCTGGACTTTGTAAAATACTTCTCCCTCGTGAAAAGGTTTCCATCTATTCCTGAAGCCCCACCCCTTTCTTTTGTTAAATAGTAAGACTCTCTGGACCCAGAGATAGGTAAGACTATGCCTTTTGTCTCAGGGGAACAGAGAAACTCTATCTTACTCATGGCTCACTGCTCAGGACCTGCACTCATATGGTGCACTGGCCTGTACTCTCCATGAGTCATGTGGCTCATGGCCTCCAGGAGGGAGCCCATCTTGCCTCTTGCCCACCTGGTAACATAATGCCTGGGTCAGTATGTTTGTGCAACCTTGTGGCCCTAACAGCTGCATAACCCATGGCCTCCAGGAACAAGTCTACAACGGACAGCAGCAAGAAACAAGATAAGCTTTAGGGATAACCACTTAGCAGCCACCTGGGTGCTCCAAAGGACAGTACAGTACTTTAAAATGGAGCAGGAAGTCTGGGCCCTGGCTTTTGTTTTGGTCTTGCTGAGGAAAGTTGTACTTTGTTTTGGGTTTGCAGAGAATGTGAGCTTTGAGATGGGGAGTCCGCCATTCTCTCAGATCATGCAGCATCTAAATAAAGCCTCTTTTCCTTTTTCAGCAGCAACTGTTCCACGAATTTGGTTTTCTGGTGGTAGGCAGACAAATTCCCTTTTTTTTTTTTTTTTTTTTTGTTCACTAACACCATGACTAAGAGCGAAGAGGGCATGGTTTCCCAAGGGATCATCAGAAGACGAGGAAATGAATTCTGGGCAGGCTAAAGCAACAGAATAATATCCTCTCCATTTGGATCTCTAGATTAGAGGCACCTTGAGGGCAGGGATTGAATCTTACTTATTGTTGTACCTTTTAAAAAATTGAGCACATTGCCTTCCACATAGCAAAGCTTTGAAAGAATTTATCCTGTTTCTTGCACAGTTTTAATAAATACTTAAAAAAATTTCTTTAGAGTGAAGAATTTCTAAAACTAAACAGTTTGTGATGAATGTTACAGAATCACTTTTAATAGGAGCACTTAAAAATAGTTTACAATCCTGGTTGAGATTATTTAAATGCAACCTTGCTGAAAATGTAGTGAGTGAAGTGTTTTAGTTAAATAAACTTTCAAGATCACTAAAGTACTATGATTTCTAAGGTCCTCCTGTAAAAAAGAGGTCAGGCCCAATAGGCAAGAGAAGGCAGGGGGCAGGGAGGAAACCCCAAGGCAAAACTGAAGATTAGAAGCTGCTTGCTCTCCCTGTGAAGGGCGGGGCTGCCGAAGTAGGGAGCTTATACAGAGCATGTGTGGCTGGAGAACGTCCCCTTGCTGAACATGGCAGCCAGAAGGGGGGCAAAGGCAAACATGGCTGACACTGGCCTTCATTGTTAGAAAACGGGATACTCCCAAAGGCTTTCTGTGCACATGGGATTCCAGGGAGGACTTTTAAATGGAGCATGCTGGAAAACATAAAGTCAGTTCGTTCTTTCTCCTCCCGCGGTGGGAGGCACGTCAAGGGTTACTGCATGGCCTGCCATTGGTGGCCTGGGTGGGCCTGTGAGTGGAGGTCAGGAGGCACAGACTCTGAAACATGCCTGGACCGGAACAGCAACTGGAGACCAGCTAAGCCACCTACGTTTATGATACTCTTGGGTGGGAAGAAAAGTTCCTGGTGCAACCTCGAACCGAGCTGACAGAGGATGACAGGGTGATTTTTCTTTGGATGTCTTAGAGGAGATGGACTTTCAGGCAAAAACCTGCTATTATTTCTAAAGACCTTGGTGATAATAGTCAGTACTGTAAGCAGATTTTTGTTCTTTTCAGTTCTTGAACCTATGTAGTAATTGTAATAACAAATATTTAAAAAGCTATTTTTGATGTCATAGTCTGACTTTTTCTTTCTCCTTATTTTTGTTAGATTGTTACATAAAAGATTACTTTCTTTTCCACTGAACTGTTGTCTTTGGAGATTTGCCAGGTAGGCAGTGAGCCATAGGACCCCCCTCCCCCACCACTGGTTGGGTTTGGTAACACTCCCCCACTTATATTTAAGATAAAAACTATATTATGTTTTTGCATCTAATTAACATCTAATGTATATTAAAAAGTGAAACTTAAAATACAATGATTTCAAATTCAGCTTACTAGTTTCGGTTTTGTTGCTTAATCAGAGCTGAGCAGTGGACAGGAATTCTTTTTCCCGAGAAGTGGACAGGAATTGGGCAGGGTGTGGCTCTTACCCTTGGACTTTTTTCCTGTAACTTCTTTTGGCCCATTCCTGACAGTATACTTGGGAGTTTAAAAGAGAAATAATGGCATAACGAGCTGTCTTTGATTTTGAAAACAGGATAAAAATTTTAAAATAGTTTATGCTAAAGAGTAAATGCTAAATCTTGAGTCTAGATAAAGGGGTACGGTGAGGGTTGAGGGGCTGGGGGCTGGGAAACTGCCCCTATCTAACATGCTGCTTGGCAACCTGACATTGGCGATGAAGGCAAAGACTCTAGTTGTACTTTGGTTTTGTAAATTTAGCCAAGTTAATTTGCTCTGTGGCATAACATTCATTTATAAATGATGGATTTAGACTATTGCTCCTGTTGCTGGTGCAAATAGCTCTATCACAGGATTGCAAGAAAAGCATTTCACAGACCCATGTGCAGGAGATTGTGATGTGGCAAGATTTATTCAGGTGGAAATAGATGGTTTTCCCTGTATCCCATCTCTGTTTGGATTGCCACGAAAAAAGTCCAACTGTGTCTCCAGCAAGGTCAAAACAAAGGCCAGTGTCCAGGGTTTCTGTTTCATATTAAAGCTTAGTCCTTTAAAACCCACATGTGGCTGCTGAGTGGTCTTAGTTCCCATACAGGTAGGCTAAGGATGGTCCTGGCTGCACTGCTGTACCCAGGCTCCCACCTGGAGCCTGTGTTTAGAGTCCATACAGGCTACGAGGCCTGCATGGTCACGATGGAGAGAATGCATGAACACACAGGGTGATGAAGAAGAAGGAAGAGGGAGAAGTGGGGGGAGAGAAAGATCAACATGTCATTCTACTTATTTATGCATTTATTGCTCGTTTCTTATATGGGCCCTGACCAGACATCCAACTCGCAACCTTGGCATATCAGGCTGATGCTCTAACTGCCTGAGCTACCCGGGCAGGAATATGACTAATATTCTTAATTCATTTAATTCTACATTTTTAAGCACCTGCTGGAGCTACAGTAATGAATAAGAAAGAAAACATCTTCTTGGAGCTTGCATTTTAACAGTGGGGATAATAAATCCTGAGCACCTTAAAATAGTCCATTAAATTCAATAATCATTTAGTAAGTACTTTTTCTATGCTAGATTCTGTGTTTGGCTCTGCAGATACAAAGAAAAACGATTCTATCTGCTCTATGCCAAGTGTACCTGGGTAACCAAAGTGTTAACAAATAAATTTACTTCTGTTTGGTAATCTCTCTTTCTACTAGTAAGCTTAAAGTTACAGTGACTAAGTTTCCAGTTAAAAGGATGAGCACAATCCCCCACGCATCTGTCAAAAGAAGTGCCCTTTTCTTTGCTGGTACCCATGACTACTACTTCCTTACTGTAGGGACTGTGTTTCTATGCTTCTTGTAACTTTGCTCGAGAACTTCATACTACTCAACTTTGCGTGTCAAGGTGCTCACCTGTATAGTATGACAGACAAATAATTCTGTGGTGGAACCACACTGTATTTATTCCAGCTCCCTGGGACTGGCTGAAGCTGCTCTAGATTTGTGCTAGCCGTGGTGCAGCCAAAGTCATTTTTTCCTGGGAACACCTAACCGCAGGGTGCACATTAACTAGGGAAAAAAACGGGCGTGGCAGTAGGCATGGACCAGGCAATAGCCAGGGCCTTTTTGGGACTCACTTTGTTTCACGTCCCCTCAAGGGCACTCAGCCCTAGGATGATATGAAAGGGGCCTGGTAAAAGAGAGAAACGAATCTCTTAAGTCCCGTTGAACTCCAACAAAGCAGCTGTCACCAGGTTGTACCTGAACCTAACCAATCGGAAAGGGAGTTACATTTTAGGCGGCTCCAGCATCCAATCCGAGGACACGTCTCAGACTCCACGGCCCGCCGAGTCCCCTCCCGCTCAAAGCCTGTTCCTCAGTCGTCCTCGGGGCAGTTGCGCACTCTCTGAAGCGCCCCAAGGAGAGCAGATTCCGGGAGGTTGGGATTGTCAACCGCTGTGGGGGCGCCCGTTATTGCGCAGGCGCCTCAGGAAGCGCGGCGCGGCGCCCCTGTCCCTTCAAGTCTCCCTCGCCCCCTGGACCCGCGAGCGCCGGCTGCGCGCCCTGGAAAGAGGCTGCGGTGGCGGGTGAGTGTCAGCCAACCTCGCCCAGCGTTCTGGAGGGAAACGCCACCCCATGTCAGTCCACTAGGGGCTTTAAAAGTACAGGTGATGAGAAGCAACCCGCTTCTCTTCGACCCCCTCCCGACCCCGGCTCACGACTGCCCCCCGCAACCCCCGGCCATCTCCAACCCCCGCCCACACGTCCAGGGACTCTGGCGGGGACGTCCGCGAGGGGACGCAGCTAGTGGAGGCGGAGGAGGCGGGGCAGTATGGGGAGCAGAAAGACAATTAGCAGGTGGGTGGGGTTGGGGAAAGGCTGTAGTGTGAAGGGTGACGAGAGGGAAGTTGGCCGAAGGCCCGTGGAGGGGCCAAGGAGGACGAAGGTGAAAATGAGGGCAGACAGGCCGGCAGGCGTTTGCTTTTAAAGAAATACTGTAAAAGGTATCGACATGCACCTGTCTGAATACTAGATTCGAGGCTATGGTAATTCCATAATCCAATTTAAAGACTAATTTCCGACAAAACCAGGCGATAAAAGTAATATCTAAGAGCTTTTTTTATAGGCCAGACAACTGTTTGCTAAGCACTTTACAAACAATGCTGCTTTTCTGGGCCGAGCAGCCCTGCGAGATGATGGGATTCCGTCGCACGGCGGAGGGCCGGCCGGCTCGGGGAAGGGACTGCCCAGCCAGTGACAGGCGGACTCACGGTTGTACCAGGCTGACCCCAGCAGGGTTTTGCTGAATCACCGGGTCACTTGTTGGGCCTAAGCTGAAAATCTTGCCAAGTACGATACTGTATAGGAAGTCACCTAATTATTTTAATATCATGATTTTCTTTTCTTTCTTCCTCTTCCCAGAGGTTGTTCCAGGAAGTTTAATATAAATAAAATATCTCCTCCTTCCTTTTAAATTAGCTACAAAATATTTGGGAGAAATTTTGATGAAAACGCAAGGAATTAATGGGGCGTCTTCTATTACGTAGAAAGTAACGTGACTGTAGCTGTTTTGAAGTAGACAATTTTTTGTGCTCTGGAAAACTGGCGAATGATTTAGAATCCTGAAAGAGACTGAGAAAGTCTTTTAGCGAGTAGTTAATGTTTTTCTCTTAGTATATTAAAATAATAACTAATAATAATCTAAAGGAAACCACTCATGTTATCTGTGTGCATAGACTTTAAAGCTGTGTAAGGGTTTCATTACAAACAATACTTGTGAAGTGCTTAGAGTATAGCTTTTGTATTGTGGAGCCGATGGCATACTAATGGTGACAAATATCTTTTACCACATCCTGTAACAGTTACATTCTCCCAACTTCACATGGGCTAAGAATGCCAGTGAGAATTGCCTGACATCCATTCTGTCCAGGTAAGAAAGGTGTCCCAGGTGAGGTAGAGTGTGTTTTGTGCCCTCAATTGAAGAAGGCTACCTATGACTTCTGGTTACTGTTGGGGATATTTAGATGTAGTCCAGATGAGTCTGCTTTCTTTTTCCTTCAATATTTCTTTTGTTTGCAAAATTACAGAATGTCTCCCAATGTTTTCTAATATAACAACTAGTGATTTTCATACCTTGAAAACTACTTGAGAACTAGCTGGTGTTTTCTTTATATTTTAACATGCCCTGTTAGAGTGAAACAGTTTGGAGATTATTACTAGGCTTGTTAATTTGCTGTTTGTTACTAAACTCATAAACTTGTTGAGGACATGGAATTCCTAAGGGCACAATAAAGCTACTAATTGTCTTCTGAGCTTGGGCAACCACTGACCTTCAACTTCATCATATGTAAAAAGGGATTAGACTAAATTATTTTTAGTTATTTTATAGTTGCACAGTAATATCATCTGCTTGTCACAGTGCCCACTTTTTTGCAACATAAAAGCTTTGTAACTAGAATAGATAAAGGGAAACTAAATTTGCGGGTCTGTTCTATACCACTTTATGCATACCCATTTTATACACACAGAAACGGAAGCTGGGAGAAGTTAGCTTTGCCTAAGACTGCCCATCTGCTAATTCTGGGATCCTTGATTTTTCAGAGCCTATAATCTTTCCACGTTGTCTGTGCTTCTAATCCTGGGGACAAGGTCTGGGGCACTCAGATCCTAGCAATGTATTAAGGGATTACTGATCTTAGAATAAACAGCCCATGCATGTTGAGCATCCTTTTCACTCAAAATTCGGGGAAAGATTTTGATTCATAGGTATTTTATGAGAGAGAGAGGCAGATGCTGGTTTTTGTTGTTTTGCACACAGGAAGTGGTGTAAAATATTTTCACATTAAAACACCCAAGTCAGTATTATGAATTACAAATTTCACATAATTTTTTAGGCAAAATGAGACTTCAAAAATAGTTCCTGTTTTGTGGCAGGGCATTTTCAGATGCTTTTAAGATTACAACTTCATTTTCTTGTACTCTTTATATATGTAATTGTCTTATTGAGATATAATTCACACACTATGCAATTCATTCATTTAAAGTGTAAAATATTACAGAATTGTGCAAAATCACCACAGCCAATTTGAGAACATTTTTATCACCCAGAAAGAACCTTCTACCCATTGGCATTTGTTCCTCATTTCTCCCCAACCCTGTGCTCAAGGCATCTACTAATGTCCTTTACACTTCAATAGTTTTTTCTGTTTTAGGCATGTTATCTAAATGAAGTGATACAATCAGTGATCTTTTGTGACTGCCTCCTTTCACTTAGCGAGGTTTCAAGGTTTAGCCAAGTTGTAGCATATATTAGTACTTCATTCCTTTTTATTGCCAAGTAATATTTCCATTGTGTGCTATATACCACATTTTGCTTATCCATTTATCACTTGATGGACATTTGAATTGTTTCTGCTTCTTGGTTCTTAGGAATAATGCTGCTGTGAGTATTTGTGTGCAAGTTTCAGTGCGGACATAATGTTTTAATTTCTCTTGGGCTTGTGCCTAATAGTAGAATTACTGGGTCATGTGGTAACTGTTTATTTTGAAGAACTGTCAAAATGTAAAATGTTTTCTAAGTGGTTGCACCATTTTACATTTTTACTAGCAGTATATAAAAGTTCCAGTTTCTCTGTATTCTTCCCAACATATGTTATTATCTTTTTAAATTATTATTATTATTCTATTACAGTTGTCCCAATTTTTCCCCATTGCCTTCCTCTACTCAGCCCACTCCCTGCTCCCACAGTCAATCCCTACACTGTTGTCCATGTCTATGGGTCATTCATACATGTTCTTTAACTAGTCCCTTCCCCTTCTTTCCTCTGTTATCTCCCCACCCTTTCCTCTGGCAGCTGGCAGCCTGTTCCATAGTTTCATGTGTTTGGTTCTATTTTGCTCATTAGTTTATTTTGCTCATTAGATTCCTCTTATATGTGGGATCATATGGTAATTTTCTTTCACTGACTGGCTTATTTCACTTAGCATTGCAGTCTCCAGTTCCAACCACGCTGTCACAAAAGGTTATGCAAAGTCTTTTTAGACACAGCAACAAAAACACAAGTTACAAAAAAAAATTAACTTCATTGAAATTAAATGCTTTTGTGTTTCAGAGGATACCATGAAGAAAAAAGAAAATCCACAGAATGAAAGAAAATATTTGCAAATCATATATTTGATAAGAAATTTGTATCTAAAATATGTAAAAAACTGTAACAATTCAATAATAACAAGTCAAATAAGCCAATTAAAATATGAGGAAAGAATTCTAGAAAACACTTCTCTGAAGATATACAGATGACAAATAAGCAGAGATGTTCAACATCATTAGTCGTCAGGGGAAATGCAAATCAAAACTACAATGAGATACCACTTCGCACCCACTATGATGGTTAGAGACAGCAGTTATAGGTCACCTGTAGGTCACTTAGATAAATGAATATGTCTTTACATGTCTTTGAAATACATTTCAGACAGATTGTGACAATGAAGTATGGTAAATGGAAATTAAGGTTGGCAATTATTTCTGTAACTGTTTTATCGTAATTTGTACGTGGTCTGGGCCTGAATAATAGAGGGGTTTGAATGCCAGGCTGAGGTCTTCGGACTTTTTGTATAGCAGGGGACACTTTGGACATTTTTTTTTAATTAGGGGACTGTCATGAACAGATCTATGCCCAGAAAGATGACCATAAGTTGGGAGCAGACGCTGGGTGAGAAAGGAGAAGGTGATTGAGGAAGGAAGGTGATTGAGGAAGGAAGGCAGAAGTGTTCTGGACAGGAAACATTGAGGACTTTAAGAAGTAGGCCAGCAATGGGGATGGAAAAGAATGGATAGCTATTAAGAATGCAGGTTCCTGGCCTTGACCCTAGACTGACTGGATCACAGTTTTCTAGTCATGGAGACAGGACAGCTGTACTTTCAGCAAGGTACACGCAATGATTTGTGTGTCTGCTCTATTGAAGTACAGTGATTATCAACCGGCGTCCACAAGGATTTTTAAAACATGCAATACCTGATTATTTAGTCAGGGTCACTGACCTCTTTTCCCTTAAATTGTCTAATAAAAAATGACAACAGCCAACACAACAATAGCCGTCTCGTGTGAATAAATAATTCACACGAGACGGCTATTGTTGTGTTGAATTATTATACCTATTTTTTGTCAGATTGGGAAAAATATATTTTTGATGTGCTGCAGAATTTTAATAATTAGTATGTGTGCAATGAGACGAAAAAGGTTGAAAATCACTGCTGTGATAGATGATACGAAAATAGAGTCGATTAGGCTGGCAACTGATGGTATACTCAGGACATCTCTGTGTGACTGAGAGAATGGTGAGCTGTTTTAAGGTAGTAGGGAATCAGGAAAATGTATTCAGCTTGACATAAATCAGATTTGACTTGACAGCAGAACAGTTTGTGCCGTGGGATTAGTTGGGAAAGGAGAATGGTGACTGGGGGAAAGAGCCAGGGCATTGAATGAAGAACTTTCAAAAATAGATTTATGAGTATCTCTAAGATACTGTGCCACTTCTTTGCTGTTTTAGTCTACTCTGTTAGTGGAAACAGGCATGAGTGTTTTGGTATTTTGGTATGGGAAAGTAGCTATATTCAAGAGAGAAGCTAGGAAATCTGTTCAATCCAAGCTTTCATGGAAGCCTGTCTACCCTCCACACAAAAGTTCTAAAATCTCTGGAGCCTAAGGCAGCAGCCTACGGGATGTTGCTGTCTGATCCCAGTTGGCAGTGTCCAAAAGAGATGAGTTATGCATAAACACTAGGCTCGCGGGCACCAAATCCTGAATAAAAAGGGAAGTACTGCTATCTAGATTCTTGATAGCTGAAATTGCTCAGATGTGTGGTACTGCTGAAAGATCTGTGTGAAGTATGTCTCTTGTGTTTAGAATTGTTACTCTCTTCTTTGGAGAGGTGGTTTTTATTATTCTATACTGGTTTGGGTTTCTTGGGTGGCACCAGCAACAGATGATCCATGCACCACACAGAAGACAGTGCGTCTCACACTAAAATGCTGGAGATTTCCCAGACCCAAAGATCTTCACCAACATGATTCTGTATGCCTTTGATCTCCAAAATCTTAATTCCCTGGTTTTTAGAGGGTCGCAGCTTCAATCAGTATTTGAATGACTACATATACAGATCATATAGGTAGCATGTTTGAAAAAAAGTCTCTGCCTTCGAGTAATTGCAGATAGCTGGGAGAAAAAACAACACACAATAAATGACTTGTGAACTTAATCATCCTGTTATCAGGCTCCTGGCTGTTTATGCCTGGGACCCCCAGGCACATAATCCCACAGCCATACCCGAGTCTTCTTACTCTGACAGAATGAATTCATTCACCTCACTCTGACCACAACCCCACATCCTAGCAATTCTCACTGAGAGGTACTTTTAAAACACCTATTCTTTTACTTCATCAGAACCTCTCGTCTCCAAACCTCTCTACTTGCAACTGTATTAATTTCAGTTTAAATGCTGCTGCCCAAATGCCATTCTTCAGATTAGTATCAACTTTAGCTTCCTTCACTATACTTCAGTTTCGGGCAGAATCTCAAGCCCCAGGTGTGTTCAGCCACCTGTTTTGTTCATTCCTGAGCCAGGGAATTGCTAGAGAAAACCAGTCAACAGTGTTACTCTAAAAATTCATGGCACCTGCTGTCAACATTGACCACTGGTTCCTTGTACTCTCCCAGTCTCCACATTGGCCATTTCTCTGTGTTCCTCAAGCCTCCGACCCTTCTACCACCCTACGCCCTCTCTATGAATGACCCTACCTCTTGTGACTCAGAGAGACTGCAACTCCCTTCACCTCCAGCTCCCAAACCTGTTAGCTCACCACTCCTTTGCTCCTTCTGTCTTGTTAAGATGGAAGAGGTAGCCTGCTCATCTACAGTGAAGCATTCTACCTAAATCATGTTTCATTTTATCTTAGGGCCCAAAGAAAATAGAGTCTGAGGGCAGCAAGATGTTTTAGGGGAAAGCCCTTTATAATTCGTGGATTGTTAAAAAAGAATGAAAAATCAGGGAGAACTCTGAGCCGGGGGTATTAGGTAGAATAGTTATGTCTTTGACAGTTAAAGGGAAGTCTGAGAGGGTGTGGTGACGAAATTCATTTCAACAGCTGTTGGATTTCTTCTGAAGTTACTGTGGCATCCAAGTCCCTGTAGGCTTTGTCTGTCAGCCTCATGTGACTATTGGGTAGGTACAGATTGAGGTGGGACCTTTCTCTCATATAATATTTATTTCTTATTCTCCTTTTATATACCAATATTTTTCAACAAGAACTGGTGGTGAGTCAACAAGGTAGAATTTCTACCATCTTTGTTAGTCATTATACTAGAAAAATGGTCTCCCTCCCTGGAGCCTCTGAAAGCTCAGCATTATTACCATTTTGTGAAAATGGATAGTTTTTGTTTCTTTATCTGTTTTCATTAAACTTTTAGGATAATTTCTAAATTTCTGATTGCGGACAGGCAAGGTTGCCAAACACAAGTATTACATGGAGTATAAGAATGGCCCATTTCCCCTTCAGAGCATGAAGATTGGGGCAGGGCATACATAAGGAGGAAACTGGACAAGTAAAGGCAATGTTTAGTTTTTCCAATTTTAGCTTTATTCAGTTGTCTTTCAACAAATGATGTTATTTTTTAAGTTGATAGAGGTAAAGCTGATGTAGAAGATGTTTGTAAATGTTGGTTCTCTTCTCCTGATGGCTAGAATTTTGAAACCTAATCCAAACCAAATAGCATTATTACTCATGCATTGTGTGTTTATGTTTTAGGAACCCTGACTGCTCTCCTTCAACACATTCAATATGAAGTTATTAGTAATACTTTTATTTTCTGGACTTATAACTTCTTGTAGAGGTAACTCTTCCTTTAGTTTGCCACCGAAGTTACTACTGGTGTCCTTTGATGGCTTCAGAGCTGACTACCTGCAGAACTATGAATTTCCTCATCTTCAGAATTTTATCAAAGAAGGTGTCTTGGTAGAACATGTTAAAAATGTTTTCATCACAAAAACATTTCCAAACCACTACAGTATTGTGACAGGCTTGTATGAAGAAAGCCATGGCATTGTAGCTAATACCATGTATGATGTAATCACAAAGAAACATTTTTCTGACTTGAATGACAGGGATCCTTTCTGGTGGAATGAGGCAGTACCTATCTGGGTGACTAATGAGCTTCAAGAAAACAGATCAAGTGCTGCCGCTATGTGGCCTGGTACTGACATACCCATTCACAATACCACACCTTCCTATTATATGAATTATAGCTCCTCGGTGTCATTTCAGGAGAGACTAAATAATATTACCACGTGGCTGAGCAATTCTAATCCACCAGTTACTTTTGCAACGCTCTATTGGGAAGAACCAGATGCAAGTGGACATAAATATGGACCAGAAGATAAAGGAAACATGAGCAGAGTGTTGAAAGAAATAGATGACCTTATTGGTGACTTAGTCTACAAACTCAAGATGTTAGGATTGTGGGAAAATCTTAATGTGATCATTACAAGTGATCATGGGATGACCCAGTGTTCTAAGGACAAACTGATAAACTTGGACCTCTGCATCAGTCACTCAGACTACACTCTTATAGATATGTCACCAGTTGCTGCAATACTTCCCAAAATAAGTAAGTCAACTTTTAGCCAAAGGATATTTTAATGGGGCAGTGGATTGAGGGGCAAGGTTTTGTAAAAGAACAAAACTCAGGCAATTCAAGACCATATGTTCGGAAGAGTGTGACTCTATGTTTTTCCTCTACAAGTTTTTAAGCAATTTGCTGAAGGTTTAGGTTCAGAATGATTATTTCTTTGCTTTTTGATATATTTTATAATTATTCACACAAACAAAAAAAGGATTTTTACCCTTAAAAAGACCTTGAATTTTGAAGTGAGATATAACTTTTGTTTACTGATCTTAAAATTAGTGATTAGTAGTAATGTGAAAATAGTTAATATGTACTTAGGAAGCTAGATGTGAAAATTATCCTCTTCATATTAAAAAGTCCACCAGGAATAATAACAAAATGAAAAAGAGTTATGTGAAAATTTTGAAAAAAGTGTGTGTATGTTGTGCATGCATGCTTATTAACACTGTCACATGGTTATTATTGATCTGTTTTATAAGAATTAAAAGTGACTTGGTAGATGATATTGCTCTGTATTTTTTCCATTTATTCTAGGTAGAGGTATCTTTTCCTTATATGTTAACCATGACTTTTTTCCTTTACTATTTCCTTTTACTTCAGATAGAACAGAGGTTTATAACAAACTAAAAAACTGTAGCTCTCACATGAATGTTTATCTCAAAGAAGACATTCCTGCCAGGTTTCATTACCAGCATAATGATCGAATCCAGCCTGTTATTTTGGTTGCTGATGAAGGCTGGACAATTGTGCTAAATAAATCATCACCAAAATGTAAGTATTAATGTAGGATATCTCTCATGCATTAACATTGTTCTCCTAACAAAGTACTTTGATTTAGAGATGCTGATACAGTATAATTAGTTCAGTTTTCAACTAGATAGTTGTGAAGACTTCATTCAATTTTCAGGTTTTTATTTCATAGCAATTCATAGTAACCACAATTTCACCCTTACATTAGAAGGTTGGGTGACTTTACAGGTGAAGGTGCAGTTTTATTTTCTTACCAAACTGCAGTTACTTTCAGTTAATTTCAAGATTGCTTCTCTTGATTAGTAGACAATGAAAGAGAAGTAAGGAAACAAAGAAATACAAGGAAAGTAAAGAAACAAAGTAAACAGGGAGAGATTAACTAGTTCAAATTTCTCTTTATTTTTTTATGTTAAAAATAATGTGTCCAAGTAACCCTAAGTCTTTCCTCAGTGATGAAACCATTTACCTGAATCCAGCTGTTCAGAACATTGGGCAAGGATGAGAAAGTAAAAAAAACAAACAAACCCAAAAATCTACTGGGTAAACAAAATAAGATGTATCAAAATCTCTTCTAAAATTGAGTAAATGTATAGGGGAGAATTATAAGTCTTCCCCGAAACAAGCTTATTTAATGTTGCGTTCAATTTGAATACTTAAAAAAAAAAAAACCAACCCTGATTTTGTAGTCGATGACAGGGATCAGGACATTTTCTGTAGAAGGCCAGGTAGTAAATACATATTTTAGACTTTGTGGGCCAGCTGGTCTCTGCCTCAACTACTCAGCTCTGCCTTTATAGTGGGAAAGCAGCCATAGACAGTGTGTGTAAATAAATTGACATGGGGTGTTCCAATGAAATTTCGTTTACAAAAGCAGATGGAGGGCTGAATTTGGCCAGGAGCTATAATCTGCAGATCCCTGATCTATAGCAATTCAGAAGCATCAGGCAAAAACAAGACTAAGGGTCAATGGAATTACATATTATTTATATTTATGTCATATACCCATTGTTGAAAACTTGGAAAATACAGAAAAATTTAGAAAAGAGAACAAAAAATACCCATAATCCCTCACTACAAGAGGTACAGATAAATGTTAATTGTGGGAGTTTTTCCCCCCTTCTAATCTTTTTTTCTGTTACATACACTTGCATTGAATAATAATATCTATATATGTATAGTACTATATTCTGCTTTTTATTATATTGGTCATATGCATTTTTATTATGAAATACATTAAATATACAATTAAAGAATAATTAAACACCCGAATACTCATCACTCAGTCCCTGTACTTCATATGAAGGTGGGAGCGTATTAAATGCAGGTGGTGTACATTAAAAGGCAATGTTTGCTAAATAAAGCTAAATTTTGAGAATCTGGTATTGGAGTTCTATTAGAGACCACCACATATGGGTTGGAGTCATCTGCGTAGACTTCGCATTCAGTAGTACCAGAACCCTATCTGTGACATTGGCAATGACCAGGCTCTCCAGGTGTTCTTGAGTGTTCATTAACTGTCAATAAACCAGTAGTATATTATCACAGGAGCAGCTGACATAGGTAAGTCTGCAGATTTACTTCTTCACCATTCACTGCTTTTAATTCACTCCTGCTCTCCCCAGTTATTCAGGACTTTCAGCTGGACCACTCTTTTTTTTATCACTGATGCTGTTTACAGTGGGCTTTTGTAAACAGTGCTGGAGATTAACAGGTAAAATAGGTGGGCTAGAACTGAAAAATAAGTAATAAGATTGAGAAATAGTTTTAAAACCCGAGGCCATGACCGACTAGAAAAAGGGGTATGTGTATAAAAAAAGGGAGCATAGCTGAGTTGAAAAAAATAGAAAATTTTATTTCTGGCCCCCATCTGGTCCAACTAATCAGAATTCTAATGTATGGTAATTACACTGGCAAGGCTAGTATATTTACTAGTCTTGCAGAAGTTATTTTGTAATAGAAAGATTAACCTTATTTACTAACCTTGTTTTGTTCTTTTTCAGTAGGTGACCATGGTTATGACAATTCTTTGCCTAGTATGCATCCATTTCTGGCAGCCCATGGTCCTGCATTTCACAAAGGCTACAAATACAGCACAATTGACAGTGTGGATATTTATCCAATGATGTGCCACATCCTGGGATTAAGACCACATCCCAATAATGGAACCTTTGGTCATACTAAGTGTTTGCTGGTTGACCAGTGGTGCATTAAACTCCCAGAAGCCATTGGGATTGTTATTGGTGCACTCTTGGTCTTAACCACTCTAACGTGCCTCTTCATAGTCACGCAGAATAGACTATCTGTACCGCGGCCGTTTTCCCGACTTCAGCTACAAGAAGATGATGATGATCCTTTAATTGAGTGACCTGTGCTGGGGCTTATACAAAGTGTCTTTGCGTAGTCACAAAACCAAGGATACACCCAAGGTATTATAACTATGAAAAAGGATATTTTGAAAGACAAGGAATTTATACCAACCATGTTAAAATTATTGTTTTATTGTTTTCCTTTGTGTTTTCTTTTGGTGCATTAGCTAATAAAAAACAAAACAAAAAAACCAAAACCTAACTATAGCAAAAACTGCTAGTAAATCATTAACTAACACAATTTCTCTAATTAGGAAAATTTTTTAAGAAAAACACTGCCTTTTTTCTTTTTTTCAATGAAAATATGACACATCTTTAGATGAAAATATATTAAAATTTAGTATGCATGCTTTTCTAACAAATTTTTATATCTCTAAATGAAACAATGGGATCTTTATGTAATTAGTGGAATTTGTGCATCAGGGAGGAAAAGCTTCCTATATTTTTATAAGAGGGTTTGTATCCAAAGTAAACCCTTGACTTAGGAAATTCTCTGTAACGGTTAATAAAATCAGCTAACCAGACAGAAAAGATTAAGCATATGAAGATATTAAGAGAAAATATTATAAAAAACTAAAGAAGACAATGTGGTACAAAGCCTCTGTCTTCATCATTATGTCTTTGTTAAGACACTTAAGCAGCTGAAATCTCAAAAGTTTTATCTTTTGAAGATTATTGCTACTAAGACATTAAGAAAATAGAGAAAAGTGCATTTCTCTGTGCTTAATACCTTTGTGTAAGTTATTTGTGTGTGTGCACAAGTCTGTTAGCATGTTTGGGTGTGCACAGTTTATGTGACTTATAGAAGGCCCTCAGAGATGGACTTGACCATAGGTAGGCTTCCACATTCCCATAGAACACAGCTCTCAGGAAAGGTTATATTTGCAGTTCATACTTGTTTACCTTCTTCTAACTCACAAGTTAAAAATCATAATTTTTAGAATTCATTAATTTTTTTTTACCATTTTTAACTTTTGCATGTTGATTATTATCATCAGAGTTATCCAAGTGCTATAGAAAAATGTATGACCTCATTACAGATCTCATTTTGATTGGGTCAGAATAAGGAAGAGAGATTTTTTTACATTAACCTTTGGGACTTTTAAGCCTTACTCTCTTAGACTATAGAGTATTTACAATTTATATTTAAAATGGAATTTAGTATCTTTTGCTCTTTCACATTATTCTTATGCTAAGTGGTAGAAGAAATTCTCAACACTCCCTAACATTTCCTAGCTTGAGTGCTAGGTGGTACCTTTTAATAATCAAAATTAAGATGAAGAAACTGAGTTGTGGTAGGCTACATTGTCTCTATTAGAGGAAAAATTGGGTTAAAGAACCATTCATTAGGATCTGAGGCAAGCTATTGATATTAATAGTGTGATCTTTAAAGTTTTGACAATATAAAATAAACTAGGCAACTGTTTTTCAGACAGAAAAATAATCTACAGGAAACATACAGCCCAGTTACATGTTGATTATCTGTGATGATTAAGAACAGTGGTGCTAATCATCAAATATATATTGGTCTCTGCTAATTTCCTGATCCTGGTATTCAGTGCCTATAGTATTTGGGATTCTGGAAAAGCATTTCCACATCCTGCATAAATAGTTAATGCTGTTATTGGTCATAAGTTAACTGTATTAAGAAGAGCATAATAAATAAATGAAATAAAACCAATAGGATTAATCTTGCTTTTTGAAAAATTTTATCTCTGATGTGTTTTTTTCCTCACATAAAAGTTATCCTAAAGGTTAGTAGTTGATCTGAATGAAATAATAGAAAATTTCCTTTTCTACTTCAATTTTCATTAAAAAACAACAACAAAGAATAGAACAGTCACATTTAAATCCATGGACATTTTTAAAAATAGTAGCAGGTCGTTTCACGCTCTTTGAATAAAGAGAGATTGGTCCTTGGAATCATTTAGGCTTTAGTGACTGCATTAGCTTGATTGGTGGTTATGAGTTTCAGAGATCTCTATGTGGCATCTGGCCTGTGCGTAGGTTTTTATAGAGGATAGAATAGGAAGGGATGCCCTGACTGTATCTTAACCTTTGGACAAAAGACACCTATTTGTCTTGCCTTTTATTCTCAAAATATTAACTTTAATTAAAATTGTGTGTGTGTGTGTGTGTGTGTGTGTATTCATGGCACAAGAACAGAATTTAATCAAAGAGATGTTTATATATAATTATATTGAACTTTGTGTTAATTCATTTCTACCTATAAAGCATGATCACTGTTAAAGCCACTGACCCTTTAATGCACTGAGAAAATCTTTTAGTAATACTAGCCTTTTATATTAAGGTTTTGGTGGATTTTGTTAAACAATTGACAAATATGCTGCTATGTTTTCTGGGTGGTAGAAAGTATTTGGCTGTTTGTGACATTAACTGCTTATGACAACAATACACAGAGGTCATAGGAAAACTTTTTGTTAAGTGTTTTTTTTATTAATTCAGTGAGTGAATTAAAAATAAGTACATTTACTTATAAAACAAGGACAGTTCTCCTGTCATGTGCAAGTTCTGGTCATTATTTCAGTGCTTTGTACTATAGGCTTTGTGTTATTGTTCCATTAAGCTTGGTCTAAGAATTTAAAGATACATTTTTGGAATATTAAAGGATTATAAATGCCTTTACATTGTTCTTGGGTTTCTCTTTCTCTAGCCAATATCTGGTAAGCCTAAAGGGTGACTGCATTTAATTTATTTTATTTGGAGGGTTTTACTTCATTGTGAATACATAAAGTTACAAATGCAGGACAAAGATGAGATGGAAATAGTCTATTGTCAACTTTTAAAATAATGTGTAAATAAAATGACATGAGTGTGCTTTTAAAAATGTGTATGTAGTGCCTTAAAGTTAAAATAAAGCATATTTTGATTATATTGTTTGAATTCATAGTTCATGACTTTGTTTATGATTTTAAAGTTTTTTGGAATAAAATCTATCAACACATTTTATCGCATTACTAAATATGAATGCAACATCATTGATGATTTTTTTAATTTGTTAGCTTGCATAATATACATACTGTGACAGATTTTGACATGACTTAATAATACTACAAAAGTCCACATAAGCAGTCATTACAGATTTTTTTAAACTAGGATTAAGTGTATAACTTTAAAACAGTGTATAAATATACAATCCAGCATAAAGACATTATTGGAAGGAAAGCCAATATAAATTTTGCAGCGCTCCCAGAACTATACTTTGCTGGATTACAGTAGAAAGGAAGAAGTTTGAAAAACCTGATTAGAAAACACCAGGGTTAAGGGAGGATTATAGTATTTAAACCTAGTTTTGCACATAGCTATAAGTATTTAATATCTAAATGAGTGTCAATTCAACAACGTTTCCTCTGGTAAAGCAGTGATTAATTCATATCCTACTCTTACACTGAGTAAACACTATTAGGAACTGTGTGAAAAACAATAAAAGGCACCTCCTTTACTCTGGAAGAGTTCGGTAGCATTTAAAAAGTGGTAAAATTAACAAATTACTTCACTTTCATAGCTAGAGCTGGTGGAAAGGATCAATAGAAATTGACCCCAAAATAATTCTAGACAACCCCATAATACAGATACACCTTTTTATAAAAGGGTTCCATATAGGTCAGATCCAGACAGCCTAGCATTGATTTATACATTGGTTGGCTTGTCCACTGAGGAGAGTGAATGTTTTGTTTGTTTAGAATTTATTTAAAACATCGATGTGAGAGAGAGACATCGATCAGTTGCCTCTCGCACACTCCCAGCTGGGGACTGAGCCCACAACCCAGGCATGTGCCCTGACTGGAATCGCACTGGGGATCTTTTGCGGATTGATGCCCAAGCAAGAGGTACACCAGTCGGGGCAGAGAGGGAACGTTTTTTTACACAAGCTTTCTGTGAAGGCTTTTGTGCATGTGTGTAAAAAGACATGCAGAAGTTGTGTTTCCAGCAAAATGGTAAAGTATGTCGTTCAAACCAACCCTCTTGCTGAGGTCTAGAAATCTGGACAAACTATAATAGATACGTGCTATCGCAATGAGGAATTACCACGACATTACCAAGATTCAGAAGAGGGAAGAAATCTATAAAAGTGAGTTCCTTAGTGGAATCTGAATTCTGGAAGAGGCAGCTGAGAGGCTGAAAAGTTAGTAAAAAAAAAAAAAAAAAAAAAAAAAAAAAAGGTTTGGTGGGGAGTAGGAGAGAGAACAATGTAAAAGAGACAAAGAGGAGCAGAACACACATAAATCATAAGAGCTTACTTTATATGATTTGGCATAAATAACTTGAAAATGCAGATTAAATGGATAATTTCCTAAGAAAAAACATTTAACAAAATTGATTTCAGTAGAGAAAGAAAACTAAAACTAATTTCTGTATTAAACTTTGGGAGAGTTATATACTATTGTACAAAAAAAATCATGCCAAAATGACACTAATAATCTTTTTTAGTGCCTCTTTATCAGATTTGATTATTGTTATAATTGCTTATTAAATTTGATTATTGTCATAAAACTAGAGTTTTAGTAAAAGAAATACATGAGTTTTGAGGTGAATATAACATTGATCTCTAACCTGATAAAAATAGCACCAAAGAAATAAAACTACAGACTAATCTCAAATGAGGGGGAAAATGGAAAATCAAATCCAACTACATCAATAGCTAAATGTAACAGACTGAGCATTCCAATTAAATGGCAGAGATTGTGCAATTTTCGCAGTCCGGCGGCTCAATCCACTCAGTGAAGCAAAGGGTAGCCAGTTGGATTCCCAGTCAGGGCGCATGCATGGGTTGCGGGCCACATCCCCAGTAGGGCGCACATGAGAGGCAACCACACATTGCTGTTTCTCTCCCTTTCCTTCTCCTTCCCTTCCCCTCTCTCTAAAAATAAATAATAAATCAAATTTAAAAAAGACTGATAGTGAATACAATTATTTAAAAAAATATTAGCAAAATTGACTACCCTCTAACAAAATTCATGAAGAAGAAAAAAGGAACTAACAGAAATTAGCAATATCAGCAATAAAAGAGGGGCTATCACTCTAGACCTGTATACAGCAAAAAGATATTAAGAGAATATAATGCCAATAAATTTAACAGTTTGGATAAAATGGCAAATTATTGAAAAGCACAACTTATCAAACTTGATACAAAATCAAGTGGATAATTTTAATAATCACATCTATCACAAAAATTAATTTCTTATCAAAAACATCCCCACAAAGAAAACTCCAAGTCCAGATGGTTTTACCGATTAGTCCTATCACTCTTGGAAGAAATGATTTTCACAAACTTTTACATAAAACAGAAGAAAAAGAAACATATCCTACCTGGATTTATGAGGCCAGTATAACACTGCTACCAGAATCTGACAAAGAAATTAAAAGAAAATCATAGGCCAACTTCTAGGAATAAAAATTCCTTAACAAAATATTATCTAATTGAACTCAGCAGTATTTCAAAAGGAAAATATACATGAACAAGTAGAATTTATCCCAGGAGCACAATATTAGTTTGATATTTGAAAATCAACCAATGTTACCCATATTAATAGGGGAAAAGAAAAGAAAAACATGATAATAAATATAGACAAATCATTTGGCAAAATTTACTACCTATTTATTATTCAGAACAAAACAACTCACTAAATTTGGAATAGAAGGGAACTTAAAGCTGATAATTAACACAAAAGCAGATATATAAAAAATATATATAGTCACATAAATAATGCTCCATCTATATGCCACAAATCTACAGCTAATATCATACTGAATTCTAATATTTAAATATCATAAACCTACAACTAATGAACTAATGATGAAATATTAAATTTTTTCCCCCCTAAAACCAGAAACAATGTGAGGATGTCCATTCTAATCACCTCTATTTCACATTGCACTGGAGGTCCTAGCAAGTGCAGTAAGGCAAGAAAAAAAATAATATAAGAACTGAAAAATACTAAAACTGTCATATCTACAGGTGACATGATTGCATAATAGAAAATCTAAAGGAATCAGATAAACTAAAAGTGAACTTAACAAAATTGCTGGATCAATCAATACATAAAAATCAAGTATTTCTGTACATCAGCAGAAAACAGAAAATGAAAATTTTAAACTTGTTATCATTTATATTGGTATCAACAAGCATGAAATCTCTAAGAAAAAGTCTAACAAAACACATGCAGAATTTTTGCACAGGAAATTATAACAAGGAGAAGAATTAAGAAAGACCAAAGTAAAAGAAGGTTATATGGACTATTTTTACAGGTTGGAAGATTCTATATTGTAAAGGTGGCAATTCTCCTCAAATTTATCATTGCATCTAGGCAATTCCCACAGGGTTTTATTTTTTATGGAACTGTATAAGCTAACTCAGTTTTGTAGAAATGTAAAGGGTCAAAAAAATCTTAAGTAAAAATAAAATGATAGGAATTATTCTACACGATACCTAGCACTATCATAAAGTTATAATAATTAAAACAGTATGATGTTGACAAATAGATGAACAGAGTTGATGACCTTTATTAAACTGAAGAATCCATACATATGTGGGTGTATTATACATCTCTTGTATACCACCTCAAATTCACTCAACCCACCCTTTACTCCAGTTTCATCCTGGTTTAGGCCAACTTCCCACAGAAGTAACCTCACAGAGCTTAGCCTCTTTCTTCCTGTCCCAGACACTATGGCACTGGGTGCCAATGAGAACTCATTTGGCACTTACGCATGAACTACCCAGGAGTAACTGGAGTTAATATCCATGCACTGCTCAACCAGTGGGGTTGGAGGCTGATGGGAAAATGCTTTGCTTCCCTCTTCCATTCTTCAGGCAGTCAGTTATGAAATACATTTGATAAGGTTCCTCTGAAGGATCTGTGGGAATTGGCACTCATAACAGTGGCTCATTCTCTAACTTGGGCTTGTATAGGCTTTCTCTACATCGTTCCTTCACTCCCTGTCCCTCACTTTCATTTCTTGGGATCACTTCAAAGATAAATTGCCTGCATAACAGGCCTTTGTCTCAGATGCGGCTTTTGGAAAACCCTAGGTTAAATAGTGGATTCATATACTATATCCATCAAAAAATGTATACGTATATGCACCAAAATACACATAAAGGAATGCTCATAGCAACATTACTCATAGTAACATCAGATTGGATATGATCCAAATACCCGAAACAATACATAAATTGTGTTATATTCATAATTTCATGAAGCAATGAAAATAAACCACTGGATGAATCTCACATAGTCTTGAGAAAACCAAGCCAAACATAAATGAATGTATATTATATAATTCCATTTAGATAAAATTTTAAAATAGGGGAAATCCTATTGTGTTCCTAGTCAGGATAGTGTTACCTTCGGGCATGAAGTTGGAGGAGGGCTGGTAATTTTCCATATTCTGTTTCCTTTCTAAAGTGAAATTACATGGATTTGTTCACTTATTGATAATTGGCCACATTGACAATTTGTACACTTTCAGAGTATGTTTTACTTCAATAAAAATGTTAAGTAACAGTGCATTTTTAATTTTTTAAATTGATTATGCTGTTGCAGCTGTTCTGGTTTTTCCCCCTTTGCCCCTCCCAACGCAGCACCCTGCACGCCCTCAGGCAGCCCTCCCATTCGTTCATGCCCAGGGGCCATGCATATAACTTCTTTGGCAACTCCATTTACTCTACTTGCTCTTAACATCCCTCTGCCTTTTCTGTAACTACCAATTTGTGCTTCTTAATCCCTGCACCCTTTCTCCCATGCCCCCAGACCCCATCCCCACTGGCCACTGGCCCAATGTTCTCCATATCTATGATTCTGTTTCCATTCTGCTTGTTTGCTTAGTTTGTTTTTTCAGATTCAATTGTTAATAGTTATGTACTTATTGCCATTTTAAAGTTCATAGTTTTGATCATCTACTTTTTCTTAAATAAGTCCCTTCACCATTTCATATAATAATGATTTGGTGATGATGAAGTCCTTTAGCTTTACCTTGTCTGGGAAGCAGTTTATCTGCCCTTCCATTCTAAATGATAGCTTTGCTGGATAGAGTAATCTAGGCTGTAGGTCCTTGCTTTTCATCACTTTGAATACTTCTTGTCAATCCCTTCTAGCCTGTAAAGTATCTTTTGAGAAATCAGCTGACAGTCTAATGGGAACTCCTTTGTGGGTAATTATTTGCTTTTCTATTGCTGTTTTTTAATTATGATATGTCTCGGTGTGATCCTCTTTGCATCCATTTTGTTTGGTACTCTCTGTGCTTTCTGGACTTGTATGTCTATTTCCTTCACCAAATTAGGGAAGTTTCCTTTGGTTACTTTTTCAAGTAGGTTTCCAATATCTTGCTCTTTCTAGTCTCCTTCTGGCACCACTATGATGCAAATGTTGGAACATTTGAAGTTGTCCCAGATGCTCCTTACACTATCTTCAAGTTTTTGGAATCTTTTTTCATCTTGCTGTACTGATTGGATGTCTTTTTCTTTCGTGTTCCAAATCATTGATTTGGTTTTTGGCTTCATCCACTCTGCTGTTGATTCCCTATAAATTGTTCTTTATTTCAATTAGTATAGCTTTCATTTCTGCCTGGGTCTTTTTTATGCTGTTGAAATACCCACTGAGTTTCTTGAGTATCCTTATGGTTATAAAGTGTTTTGAACTCTGCATCTGATAGATTGTTTATCTCCATTTTGTTTAGTTCTTTTTCTTGAGTTTTGTTCAGTTCTTTCATTGGGGCCATATTTCTTTGTCTCCTAATTTTGGCAGCCTCCCTGTGTGTGTTTCTATGTATTACATAGAGCTGCTTTGACTCTGTGTCTCGGTAGCAGGGCCTAATGTAGTAGGTGTCCTGCAGGGTCCAGTGGCACAGCCTCCCCTATCACCCAAGCTTGGTACTTGAGGTGCACCCTCCATGTGGGCTGAGTACACTCTCCTCTTATAGATGAGTCTTGATTGCCATCAGTAGGTGAATGGGAGGGATTTACCCAACCCAGACAGTTGGTAGGACTGGTTATGACCCCTGGCCAGCAACTGCCTCCTTCTGTGACTTGTGGATTGAGTGATGCTTGGATGGTCTATAACTGTCCACTAGGTGCTCAGGCTCTGGGGTTTCCTAGGTGGTGCAGGCTAAGATCAGCCTCCACCTCTGTTCTATCTGGAGCCCCTTGGTGTAAGCTATAAAGCGATCTGCAGGTGGCTGCTGCTAGTGCTGGGTCTGGGACCTCTCAGTGAGAGGGATGGGGGTTGGGCCCAGCTGTTGCTTGTTTGAGCAGATTTAGGAATGTCTGAAGCCTGCGTGTAGCCCAGCCCTTTATATGGAAAAACCTCAGGTACAAGCTTGGATGTACTTGTAAGTTGAATGGGGCGGACCCTTAGGTAATCGTCCAGGTGGGGCTTACCATGTGAGTCAGGTTGATGGAGATTCAGATATGATGCTGCCATACTATAGCTCTGCATGGGGGAGGGCTCAGGAAAGGTACAACGGATGCTGTCTGCAGTTCTGTTTGGGAGGAAGCTTTCCCTCAGTTCTCACCCTGATGCCAGACACTTCAGTTCCCCTCCATATGCTACTGGTGCCCTTCAAGATGGTACCCCAATGCTGGAGCCCAGAGAAAGTGAGTCTGTGTAAGTCCATGTGCAGTGTGAGGCCCTTTAAGAAAAGAGGCCTGAGAATCCCACAGTTTCTCCTGCCGATCCACGCCCCCACTGGTTTTTACAGCCAGAAGTTATGGGGACTTATCTTCCTGGCAATGGAACCCTGGACTGGGTGGTCTGGTGTGGGGCTGGGATCCCTTGCTCTTGAGATACCCTCTGTTTTATATCCACCATACGTGGGTTTGGGACCAGCTGGCTCCACATCTTCATGGCTCCGCCCCTCCACCCTTCCTACCCATCTGGGGGAATGCAGTTTCTTTAATTTCTTAGTTGTTGACTTTCATACAGCTTGATTTTTTTATGATTCTGAGTGATATTTTTCTGTAGTTTAGCTGTAATTTTGATGTGGCTGTGTGAGGCAGCGAGCCACGTTTACCTACACCTCCATCTTGACTAGAAGTCCTCAGCAACAGTACATTGCACAAAGAAACAGAACAAGAGCTTTAGACAAATAAAAACTTTGAATGTGTGAAAAAATAAAAGGACTAAGGTTGGGAAGATGAAGTATCTCAAATGGTGTAACAAAAAGAAAAGCTGGAAAATATCAAGAGATGAACAATCCACTAATTCCCTATGTTCAACAACCTATTGAGTGCCAAAAAAGGTAAACAGAAAATGAATTAAAGGAAAATATAAACTAAAATAAATGAGCATTTGCTAGAATAAAAAAGAAATACAAGCCTTTAAAGTGAAAGGAACCACTGAGAGGCAAGTGGAGTATCTTTAGATAATTAAGTGTAAAATTTCAGGGAACTGAGGATTTAAAAGAAAAAGTTACAGAAAGGAGGAGGGGGAAAGGGCAGAAACAGAGGAAAGGAGAAACATAAATTGGCATAAAACTTCCCAGTAGCAACCCTGACCACCTTTTAGATGATGATGCATTATCAAGTTGAGAGATCAGTACGTCTCGTACAGATTCCCATTGTTCCAGTTTTACTGTTTTTGGTTTGCATTCCCTGCCTGTTCTGAACTGAATTGCGTGCCCTCAAAATTCATTATGTTGAAGTCCTAACCCCAAACTGGATTAGGATACCTAGGTCCTGCTTCCAACTTACACTAATACATCACATGAGTCACTTCACAGCTTTTTTTGAATGGTCCCTTAGGTCCCTCCTGGCTTGACACTTCTTGAGTGTATCATCTAAAGAAGAGCTGAAAAAATGAGAACTAGGGGAGCTGGGATCTTCATTTGATTTTCCTAGAAATGACAGGGTTTTGGAAGAAACTGAAACTAATAATAGGATCTTAGTTTTACCTTAAAAGTTCAGAAAGCATCTTGTAAAGCAAATTTAAATTTACTTATAGTAATTCTAAATTAAAATGGCAGATGACAAAGGGAGAAATTGCAAAGCATATAGTAAGAAAAACCTTAAAACTGAGTAATTGTACAAAATAGGTGTTGGAGGATGTTGAATAAAAATGATTAGGTAGGGGAAACAATTTCCCTGACCTTTTAAAAAAGTCTTATTTACAATTAAATTAGCTAAATTTCATTTCTATGTACTCACTTTTGTGAACTACATACGAAGTATGACCATGAAGACATGCAGGTAAAACCTAAACAAACTTAACAAAGGATGACGAGTAACTAGATTTTCCCAGCAAACTTTAAAATTTTATTTTCCTTCAGGTAAACTCTCTTGCTAATATTTCACAGGAAAGTAACTATCTGTAAACAAAAGAAACCATTTAGTAATCAAAATGTTTGTATCAGAATTTTAATGATTTCATAAGATACAGAATTTACTTTGTTCTTACTATTAAGGTATTAGCACCTTCTAAAATCAATTTAATGAAAACAATTTGATTAAATGTACAGATAGCACTTGAATAGTGATAAATAGACTAATTTCCTTTCGATCATTATATTGGCATCTGAATAATACAGGTTAAGTTCATAGCTACAAAGCAGGTCAATGTGACTGGTCACATGTCTAGAATATCTAATCCAGAGTTCAGACTTCTTGAGTTTGCTACCTGCCAGTTAACTTCTTAGTCTCTTAATCCGAATTACACTCCCAGTAATTCCATTCTATCCTATTAAGAGGTTGTATAGTAAAATGAGAATTAGGTGCTAACATTTTATTGGCATCATTTTAAAAATAATTCACCCGCCTCATCTTCAGAGCATTTAAATTCAATTGTATTTTTAACCATGCTTCTTTCATTCTTTAATCTATCCTTTCTTTCTGAAATACATTTCCTATTTTTCCTAATTGTCCAGTTGGTGCATATTTATACATAAAATCACAGTATTTTCTGGGGCCATGTGTTTGTTAGTTTCTATTTTCTTCAAGGAAAGCTGTTCTTTGCGGGGCTGCTTCTTTCCTCTAGAAACGATAGGCAATACCACCCTCTCTCCAACCCAGCTATTTAAAAGATCCGAGGCACAGTTCTAGGTGGCTGGAATGACAGGAGCTGAGGTGACCAGGCAGGTGAAAAACTACCCAGAAGGTAGAGTCTATTTGTGAACCTGGATTCATCTTTGATTCCACTGAGCACCTGGGGGAGGGCAAATATTCAAGTGTTTCATGAAACAAGGCTACAATCATGGCTCCTCTTGTTTCAACACCTGTTAATTCTAAGAGCTAGTTTTTGCCATCAGGCACTCCTTAGTGCTGCAAACAATGATGGTCCTGCCTAATTTTTTCCCCAAGCTCCACACACCTCTTTTCAAGGACTCAGTGGCCTACATTTTACCTAAGAGTTTATGCTAATTTTGGATCTTCAAATATTCACATATAAAAGATGCTTGTGCTCTGCTACTATGTATTACCAGATACGAAACGTTTTTTTCATCTAATTTGATTTTTAATGGAATAATGATTTAGTTTTCAAAAGAGCAAATAATTATAGAACAAGAGAAAATATTGCTGAGATGATGCCCAATTGCTAACATGTAAGCCAGTGCCAGACTACTAAGAAATATATAGTAATGGAGTTAAAAAATTAAAATGACCAATCAGGAAATAGCAATAATGAAGTTTATGACAGAATCTGTTTAGAATGAATCTGACAGTACTTCTGAGAAAATAAAATGAAAACCCCAGTCCCTTGGAAAGACACATGACAAGGAATGCCCAGATACAGGCTGTTGTTAGGAGTGTATCTCTCCAAAATTCAATGCATTGTCCCATTTAACTTTCAATAGTTTTCACTTTGTTCTAGCTCTCCCAATTTAAGTAAATGTCTGTATTATTCAGGAATTATTAGAAATTTCATTGTTTGAATGACAAATAAGTATTCTGTGACATGGGCATAAAAAGTTTTTTTCAACCAGGTTACAAGACATAATTGTCAATAAAGTGCATTTCACATAAAAGTACCCATTAGGAGAGTAATTTAAAGTGCAATATATAAGGTACTTCAAATAGTGCAAAGTTGCTAAATATATACATTATATGTGCCAAGTCAAAATAGAGCAGGATTTTATCTCTTCCTAAGCCAGACAGAACAATGAAAACATACTTCCACCTTTTTTTATGCTTTGCAGATATGTGTATTTTGGTCCATCTGTGTGTGCGCAAGTGCATGTTGAAGAGATTGTGCCTGAATATGTATATAACTGCTTAGTGGTCTGTGCAAATGTCTGAGGGTGGTTTCCTAGAATTTGAAACCTTTGAACACTGACAGAATTATGTGACCTCCACTTCTAAGTAGCATTAGGCTTGTAATAATGGCTGAGCTATTTCGGCCTGCATATCTGGTAAGGCAGGTATTTGACTGCGAATTAAATGTTTAACAAAAATTATAAAAAATACAATAACTATAATGCTACCGAGAGAGACCCCTATGACATAAGCATATGGTTCTTCTTGCTCATGTTCTCGTTTGGCACTACCGTGGAGGAGTGTGGTACTCTGCATGGAAGGAAGTGCTCTCGGAGCTGTTGAACTGAGCAGGTCCTGGACATTCCTGAGGGACCCGTTGTGTGGCATGGCAGGGATATTGAGAAGGTGGCAGAGCAGTGGGTACAGATCTGTGGAGTTCATGGCTTCTTTTGTGAAATTCTTTCTGAAGGCAGGTCCGTGGGCTAAAAATATTGGATGCATTTCTGCCAACACATTATCATAACCGTGGTTGCCCACTGTAAAGATAAGATGCACAAAAACGTTAGCCAACCAAAAGGCATTAAAATGGAAATATTTGTACTGTCAAACTCTGAACAAGTAAATGCAGTTTGTATCCAATTTGACTTTTAAAACAGTCTTTTACAAACAATCCTTTCTGTTGTCAATGTCACAATTCACTGCAGGACCTGAAAAGGCAACTGTCACGAAGTGTTCTCAGAGGCCGAGGCTCCCTTTGGCAGCCCAGGAGGGAGGGCAAAGGGCAAAGCTGAGCCAAGTCAAGGGAGAATGGAATGAGCATTTTTTTTGGAGGCAGGTAAACCACTTGTTAGGTGCCTGCTGTGCTCTAATGATCATTCTAAAGGTGCTCTTAGTCTTAAAGACAATATAGATTCATAGTTACTAACAAAAGGGGAAAAACAATAGATAAAGCAAAACAAGACACCTCCAAAGTCAAACCTCTAGATATAGTTACAATCTACTATCAAAAAATCAAGGTCAGGACCTGAGGGCAAAATCTTGATTTTCGTGGTTCAGATCAGTATCCAACTTAGCACTGCGTGCCTTAGTATGGGTACAAAAAGCAAAAACTTGGAGTCTTCTGACTTACAAAGTGATACAGAATTGAAGGATGAAAACTGCTTAATCGAGGCTGCACTTTATTTATTTGGTGACGGACTGTGATTTTTTTATTTTGTTTTTCAATTACCATCGGCATTCAACATTTTTTTGTATTAGTTTCAGATGTACAGCACAGTGGATATTCATTTAGATTACAAAGTGTTCTCTCCTATAATGCAAGTGCCCACCTGGTACCATAGATAGTTATTACAATATTGTTAACTATATTTCCTATGATAAAAGCTGCTTTTCAAAGGCACATGTGTTGAGTATGGTCTCAGGATGCACAGGTGAAGAAGCTACTGTTGATGGCAACCTAAGAAAACTGACAGGCTTTATTTTAAAGGTGGTGAGGATACTGGCTAGCAAATCAGTCTCTAGTACCTCTATTACTATGGGGAAATATGCAACGGGAATACGACATTAAAAAAATAATAATCCTAAATCAGTTTCTCTGAAAAGTCATGAACTGGCCCTTAGCCATCTCCTCAAAGCAATTCTAAATCTGCCTGGCCAAATCCATCAAAAAAAAAGTCTCAGTGCCATGATTCTTTTGCATTTATTTGAGTAAAAATAATGCTGGATTTATGAAATCATCTGTAATTATTTGACAGGATACGATGCAATTCTATTGAATTCACTGATAACATCAACAGCAGGAAATAGGTCATTATAAAATTTGGAATCGACTGCATAATCATTCATTTCTATGAGAAGTTGGGACCTAGACTCTCAGTCATGAAAGCAAAGGTGGTTCTCTCATATCCCACTTTTTACTAGAAAATCAGATTTGAAATGAAACCATTATGACTTATAAGAACTTCCCCATGAATAGGGACTTAATGTTGTCATGGTGGTCCCTACCATAAATGCTCCATCCAGTAGGTGATATTTAATAGTGGATGCCTAAGGGCAGTGGTTCTCAAACTTCAGTGTGTCTGAGACCCCTGCGGGGACATGGAGAATCACAGATGGCCGGGCTTCGCCCTCATGGCTTCTAATTCAGTAGGTCTGGGTTGGGCTCAATAATTTGCATTTCTAACAATTTCCCAGGTAATTTGGATGCTGCTGGTCCAGGGAACACACTTGGAGAACCTCTGCTTTTGAACACCTGGGCTTAATTTCTTGTAGAACTCAGGTTGAGAAGTAGTTTAGTGGTCAATATTTAATCATTTTGTTGAATAAATGAACATAATATAAACAAGAATATTAGTCAGGTTTTCTGTCAAAAATAGGTGTGACCAATCTACTGTGTAATTGTAGTTTCACCAAACCAAATTTCAAGAGAGCCCCTTAAATTCATGTTACCTGCAAAGTTTTGAGCAACACGACTAACTTAAGAGCTAACTGCATAATACGTGAAAATCTGAACATATAAAGGTGGCAATTCTTCTCACAGCCAAAGGAATTATTTTTAAAAGCCTTCCTAAAATGGTTCCCCTAACATGATTAAATATCGGTTTACAGATCATTATCTGTATAAAAAACCAGTTTTTAGAACCAGAAACCATGTACATGTACAAATTACATAATGGCACTATGAATTATGTATGCGTAACAAGAGTCAATGACAGGCAACTGCTTTTCTTTTCCTCAATAAACATGCTAGGAACCTAATTCTACCTAAAAGGACATTTTGGTATATCTCTTATCTATATCGAGGACAAATACCCAAAAAAGCCTTCTGAGATAGTTTCACACAATGTAGATCCTGAAACATTCAAATAATGGGATAGAAACAAATCCCAGTGAATTGTTAATTGCTCAATCGTGTGTGGTAATATCTAATCAACCAGGAGCCTATGCCAGGTGATCCAAGAGAGGGGACTGAATATGGGAACTAGTTTTAAAAGTGCTGAAGAGCTGAGAAGCAAACGTGGAATTGTGAGGTTACCCCAGTGATTAGGAACCGTGGGAAAGTGCTGACATCTCCAAAATTATATCCCTAGGTCTTAGGAAAACACAGCTTAATATATTACTTGCCATCATACATTCACTTCTTTTTAGAAATGGTTCAAAGGTGTAAAGCAAAGCTGGCATAGGCTTTGGTAGAGCCAGAAAGGCCAAAAAAATGAAACAAAAAACCCTAGAATGACAACAACTGCAAATAAAAAGTAGAGTTTAAATTCTTATGAAGTAAGAATATAAAACAGAGAAAATAATTCAATTTATAAACTTCAGTTATGTTTTTCTCAGGAACAAAATGGTTATAACTGAGAGTATAGGTTATCGTGCATATATTTGGTTTGATTGCTTCAAGAGAAGTAAATGGTTCATTTTTAGGAGCTTACCTCTTTTTAAAGCCCAAGGGATCTTTATTTTGCTATTAATGTATGACATTAGCTAGTTATTAAATCAGTAAACTGCTGTATTATCCATAGAGTCCACTTTAGCAAACAGCAATGAAGCATGGGAAGAAATACCTGTAACATACTTACACATAAAGTCATCTGACTTATTTTGTAAAATATACCACCCTTTGTCAGCCACTGCTATAATTGGTTGAATGCGATTGTTGTATTTGTAATGCCATCTTTCCGGAATCTCTTCTTTTTTGTAAACAGTCATGTTAGGATGAGCATGAGCTAGTGCCTCATAGACTTCATCAAATTTACCTGTAAGAGAAGGGAGAAAGGGAGGCACAAAAAAAGCATTCACTGTCAAAACAACCATGGCAGTTGAAGTCAATCAATGCAGACAGGCTACTGAGGGAAAAAGCCAGCACGCTACACATAATGAAATCTAGCCAGACACTTCAGAACTCCTATCCTCTTTGAGGAAAAAATTCCTGAGGGAGGAAACAAGTAATTACTCTTTTGTTCTAGGGAAATTCACCTTAAACAGTTAAGGAGTCATCGTAAAGAACTTGAAATCTCTAATTTAAGATTTCTTAATAAAACACACACACAAACACACATTAATATTGCACTACACAAGCTAAAACAAAGGGTTACATCCTGGTAGTTATGGAGTGCAGAGAAAATCTCTAGGTAAGAAAATATGGTGAGTGGAGGGTAAGGGGTGGGAAAGGACAGGCTGGAGGCGAAAAGCAGACTGTAACATGGAAAAGTTCTTTAAAACCCTGGAGGTCTTGCAAAAGGACTCCCTATAGCTTCATATGCAGTAAACCTGGGCACTGTCTTTACTCCTTTTCTTGTTTTTCAGATCCATTTGGTAGGGGTTCCCCCCCCACATCTGATAAGGCAACACCATACAAATTTTATAAGGAAAAATGAAGATTTATTGTGATTTTCAGAAACAATAAATTTGCTATTTGATACTGAATTTGCTGAAAAGTTTGCATGTAGGCACATACTCATATTCTAACATTTACTGTTTCCTATGACTCTCTAAATTCTCCTGTGAGGGATAGAACTCTCATTTGTGAGGTCGACAGCTTTTCAAACTCTGTTCTCTCATTCAATACTGAGACCAATCCTAGGAGGCGAAAAAACAGAAGTCAGAAGAGATGGCCCGAGTCTTGCTCTGCACTTACACTGTGCTCTGGGGACGCAATACTAGATGACAAGGCTGATATGAAGCTTCAAGGAGAGGTTTATAAAAACTCAAGTTATTGTTATTACTTTCCCTACTCATTGTTAAGAAGATGAAATCTCAGGTTGACCAAAGCTTTCTCCTTCCTACACTCCACTGTTTTGCTATTAAGCGGGTAATAAGGATCTGTAGAAGGCTTTGAAGGCTTCTAAGAAATCACTGTCATTTTTGTCTTCCCATCTCAATTTTTCTCAGAAGGGGGCTGTACTTTCATTACATCTGATGATTCCAAAATGGTTAAATTTGACTGCCATAAATACAGAGTGAGCATCAATTCCAATATTCTAGGAAAAAGTGAAAAATTACACTCCAAGTGACTGGAGCTGGTTTGAGGAAATAAAATATTCTATTAGTGACTGACAGCTGTCAGAGGGGAGCGTGGTTGGGGGGATGGGTGGAACAGGTGAAGGGATTAAAGAAAGAGGGGAAAAAACTCCTACACACAAACAACAGTATGGTGATTACTGGAGAAAAAGGGGGTCGGGGAAGGTGGAAGAAGGTAAAGGGGGGATACATGTGACAGAAGGAAACTTGACTTGGGGTGGTGAACACACGATACGATATACAGATAAGGTGTTACAGACTTGGACATCTGATTATAATTTTATTGACCAATGTCACCCCAAGAAATTCAATAAAAAATTTTAAAAATACCCTGTTAGCATATATTCCAGGGAGTAGCTACCTCCAAGGAATAAGCACCTGCAGACACCACTGAAGGAAGCCAGAAAGGAACGGACTCAAACAGCTTAAAGCATCTATTATAAACTTAAACCAGCCAAGGGCTTATTAAAATAGTAAAATCTCTGCTTCTCGGAGGGCTTCTCTGAAGGCCATTTTTTGGACACAGGATATATGAAGAGGCATGAACTGATACTGCGCCCATGCCTCCCTACACCAACCCTTACATGCTGTGACAAAAATTTCCATCATGAATATGTATTAATTTGACAGGATAAAAGTATGGAAGCGCTCCAGTTTGGGGAGCCATGGCTTTGGAAATTATTCCTTGTGGGCTCCTTATTCAGCTGCAAATAAATTTCATTTTGTGTGGCAACCACTCTTGTTGTGAGGTCTAGTATCTTGCTCACCAAGGGGTGAACCCAAGGTCAGTTTAGTAACAGAGAGACAGAAACAGAGACAGAGAGAGAGAGAGACAGACAGACAGACAGACAAACACAATGATTTCATTTTTTTCAGAGTCTAAGGATTAAATTCCTGGACATTACCACAACGCAGGCAAGCATACTTTAAAGGCACAGAAACAGAAATTCCCCACTCAGCTGCACTGCGCACATGCAGCCCCGAGTGCTGACTCTGGCAAAACTCACCTTCTTTTGGCAAGATAGCTGCTACTGGAGACTGGTCAATCAGGACATACTGGTCTTTATCCAGATACTGGTCAAGTTCTATCACCCTTTCCTCAGAACACTGGGTCATTCCGTGATCACTTGTGATAATGACATTCAGAGTGTTCCACAACTTGGCCTTTTTCAGCATTTGTATGAGATACCCTAACTTGTTGTCGATGTCTGTAATGACAGGGCCCATGAGCGGACTGTCAGGGCCCAAACTGTGGCCCATGTCGTCAGGGTCTTCCCAATAGAGAAGACCAAAATTGATGGGTTCTTTTGATGTAAACCATTCAATAATTTTGGCAACTCTATCTTCAAATGAAACGGACTCATTGTAAATCATGTAGTGAGTAGGAAAGCTCTGATGAATTTCTACATCTGTTCCGGGCCACATGGCTGCACCACTCATGTGTCCAGCCTTCTGATTTGTGATCCATATTGGCGTCGCTTCTTCCCAGAACTCAGAATCGTAAATAGTCATGGTATCCAAGGAGAAAGATTTGTTCAGAATAGGGTCAAACATGTCATTTGCAACAATCCCATGATTCTCAGCAAAGAGGCCAGTTACCAAAGTATAATGGTTAGGATAGGTCTTCGTAATAAAAATATTATTAACTTGCTTCACATGAACACCATATTTTATAACATAATGAAAATGAGGTGTTGGAACTCTATATAAGTAATCCCAACGGAATCCATCAAATGAAACTAGCAGAACCTTTTGCTGGTCTGGTTGGAGACAAAACGTAATTGAAAGTGTTAATGTAGCAACTATGAAGGCCACCGAGACAAATTTTGAAGACATTTTCAAAGTACTTGATCAGCTCAGCACAAGATGATCTGTATTAAAAAAAAAATAGACGTTAATAACATATAGAAGATAACTTTGTTTTGTATACTTTACCCAAAACTGAGAGTGATGGTGCTTAGCAATCCCAGTTACATCATAAATCATAGCCTGGAAGGACTACGTTGCAGAACTCCATCTTAAAGAAGAGACCTGGGGCTACCTGTATAATAAAGCTAAAAAGTTTAGTTGCATTAGAAATTGTTTTATTTTCTAAGAATTTATCAAAAATGAAGACATTCCTCAAAGGAATTATTTAAATAGTTCCCAAATATCACTTTAAATATCATATAATTTACACACAACTTTTCAGAAACATTTTCAGGTTGACCCAGACCTCTGACAGTAAAACACCTGTGAACATTAGCAAATCCAATAATAATGCTTTAAATATATACTATATATTTATATATATATAAACTATATATTACATATATATAATTTTCAAAGCCAAAACCTTTATATTGGGTTGGCCAAAAAGTCTGTTATATTTTTTGCGTAAATTAAAAGACACATTTTTCATTTTCACCAATAGCTACTGATTTGGATATTTTGAGTACATCGGCTCTCTCCCGCTATTGGTTTCTAATGGGTACAGGCCAGGGCTGCTACTAAACAGCTTCCAATGCATAAGACAGCACCACAGCAAAGAATTCTTTGGCCAAAATGTCAATACTACCAAGAAACTTCACAAACCACTTCTGATCAGTCACAGCACCTTCTCCATACACTTCACAAATCATTTTTTTGCTTTTCAGTTGCATTTTTACCTTTCTTGAAATAATAAAGCATAATACGCTGACAATGTTGCATATTTTCTTCCATCTTCAATATTAAAATGGCTGCACAAAATGCACCAATTTTGATTCTTTTTAAAATGTATGCTGATATGACAGCTGTCACAATACAATTTAACAAAATTGTTTCCAATGAAGTTAAAGACAACTAAGCACTCATCATATGGAAATAATGTAACAGACTTTTTGGCCAATCCAATACTTGGTTCATCATGGTTAGAGGTGTTACTAGAGAGAGAAGCAAATACGTTGACTTGGTTTCTTGAAGAGACCTAAAATTTATGACATTCAAATATATTTGTGAAATGTAATCTGCATTCATTTATTAATAATCAAATCATAGCCTTCTTTAAACAATTAGATTCTGAAGTATAAACAGAAACATATTTCTGAAATTTGATGTTGACCTTCCTAATGTCAAATTTGTTAACATTTAATCTTATCAGTGATATGGGTAGAAAAGGTACTTACCAGATTAAATATTATCTCTCTGGACCAAGGTTGTTGGTTTGTTCATTTTTTTTAAAATTTGCATATATTTCTAAAAAGCTTTTATTCTATTCAAGAAAGCTAGTAAGAGGCAATATGGATAAACAATACATATGCACATTTTGTCAGTTCTCAATGGGTTTGCAAAAATAACTGAGGGTCTTTTGTTCTTTTTCCTGTCCATACTTGCATGAAGGTATGCAATTTTGTGACATATATTTTGTGACAAGAAATCTCTTAAATTCAGCTTTGACATCCCCCTAATTTGAATACACTGAGGACATTCTTAAACCTCAAATATAGGCCGTCGTGGCACACTTGTTTTGCTTTTAGATGCAATAATTCTATTTTGTTTTTTAATCATGACTTCACCGTACACAGAACTGAATTAGTTAAATTGAAATTGTCTTAAGTATTAGTCTGTAGACAATGGTTCAAAATAAATTTAAAAACTATTTCTCAAACGGCAATAGTGTTTCCAGTTCTGGAAAGGATCTTAAAAATCAGTTCCAACAGGGAAATATATTTACTAACATATGTGGATGAGGATGATGGTTCCTTCCTCTTTCTCCCTTTTCTATTACCTTCCTAACACAAGTTAGGTTAATATGAACCAAACATAATTTAAGCCTAAAAAAGAAGCAACTACATGAACCACCTGACTCTCCTCTACTAAGTAAACTAATTTAGCAACTGTGGTAAGCAGGGAAGAACTGCTTTCCTAGGACAAAGGAAAACAAACAAAGGCTAAGTGTCTAAAGCTTAAGAATGCTTGCTAAGCAGAACCAACATTATCACATGGATGGCACACAGCAATAAACAGAGGTGGGGGGGATGAACGAAATCTCAAATTTCTTTTTCATGCACAAAATGCTGCACAGTGCAGCGGAATCCTTAGCTCTCTCTCGGTCCAGATTTCACTGGGCTGCTTTCCAGTTCCTCCTCCCCTACAACAGACAGTCGTCAAAATCCGGAGGGAAGGGGCGCCAAGAAACGCGAAGAGGCAAAGTGCAAGAGGATTAGGTGTGTGTAGAGCGAACGGACGTCTAGAAGCTGGTGATGCATACATAGCCTCATCGTCTTCACAGGATCCCATCCTAGACACTGGGAAGGGTCTCGGCGTAGGGTACTCCGACCGAGGCCCGCAGATGCCCCAATGTGAGCTGTGTGGAACGGGCGGGGGGGTTGTCTGGGGGCCCATCGGGTGCCCACAGGAGCCGCGTGGGTCCCCGGGAGGCAAGAGAAGGTACTCTTACCTTCGCAGCGAGCCGGTCACTGCCTACCGGTTTCGGACAATAGGAGGTAGGATCTGGAGAGGGCTCCCTTCGCCAGCCCCAGGACAATAGCTAGGAGGTGGCGGAAGCGAGGGGTACCCCTTGAACCCCCAGCCACTCAGCGGCACGCAACGTCGGCTCAGAGCACCTGACCAGCACGCATCCACCCCGCAGGCCCCGCCTCTTGGCTTCCATTGGCCCCGGTAGGGGTTGTTACTACTGGCGCGCTCCTGGGAATCGCTGAACCGATTATCAATCAGAGGGAGAGGGCGGGTGCTGCCTGGATTTGGATGACTGGGGGTAGAGGACGGGAGCCCCCTGAACCAAAAAGCTGGAGCAGACCCTGTTGGGAGGCCCGTGCCGGGGAGTGAAGCGAATACCTGGTGCTCGGTGCTCGCTGAGGTCCTCTCTTTGCCTGGGCACCAAAACTTTTCATAGTGTGTCTTTTCTAGACGGGCAGTAGTGCTGTAATCAGTGATGCAGAGACATTAAAATGCCCTACCCCAGTGGTTTGTGTGCTCTAACACGAACTGTTTTTGTTAAAACCGATTTTTATTCTCTTATCTGTTAAGGGGGTGTGTGTGTGTGTGTGTGTCTTATCACAGATTGGTCAATGACACCATACCCTGAGTTCTGTTCTAAGAAATACCAGAGGATGTCGATAGGACGTTGAAATTTTCTATAAATATTTTAATTGGTTGGTGTTGGCACTTCACAAAAAAAATTAATTTAAAAGGACTTAATTTATTCAGCTCTCCAGCCTCCATGTTTGTTTCCAGGTTTTTGCAATACTTGTATATAAGGTCTCAGGAATCTGCAATAGCGAGGCACCTGAGAATGAACAAATAAACCAAGCCACGTTCAGGATTAGGTTAATTTTCACAAGGAGAGAGGAAGAACAGCTACTCATAGTTCCATCTAGGCTCCTCCACGCTCTTTTCCAGGCTTGGTTTCCAAATATGCATTAAAGCTATGAACTTCAGGTCCTATTTCTCTTTGAGAAAGTCTTCTTTGGCCCTGTTTCTTCTGTTCCCTTACTGTAGTGAATTAATTTTTCGAGTTTTTTGGTAATCAGTGGTATTTTTAGGCCCGCAGCAGTGTGGTGGGCATGTGCACAGTTTGCCAATTTGATGCTAACTGTGAGTACCGTAAATTATAGCAGGGACCTCCAGCTCCCCTGAAAGGATTTGTCCGTCTACACAATTCCTAGGCCTAATTCTGAGCACCCTGCAATGGGCAATAATATCTGCTTGGTCGTCACAACTTATGTTTCAACATCTGATTAGCCTATGAAACAGAAAGCAAAACCAGTGGCTTTGGCTCTGTCTGGAGTTCATGATTCCTGTCTGGTATACAGGAACTGTAAAATGATAGACATTCCTGTTAATATTTAATTAAATGAAACAAACATTTTGGTCATAATTTTTTTTTCTCTCTACTTCTTATGGAGGAGACAGTCCTTATCGCATTGGCTCCCTTCTGACTGTGTCATACCATCCCAAAGAGCATCTGGGCACGCTGCTGAGGCCTTTTATTTGTAGTAACTTGAGTTTATTGTTTTCTACATGTGGGATGGGGATTAAAAGGGAGGCTGGTTTCTGTGGTTAGCCAGACACAATGACAATGAAGTTGTACAGGTTGTTCCATGACCCTAAAGCCCTGTCCTTTGAAATTGGCCAAATCTGGAACAAGTGGTCCAATATTATAAGCCCTTGACCCCCCCCCCCAAATAAACCAACCCTATGTTCTCCCCAAACACTCAAAAGAACAGTTTATGCTGATTAGAGAGCAGAGGTGGGAAAAAACAAGCCTTTTATAGGGGTCACTGAACAGAGACTGCCTGGCTCTGCAAACTTTTTTATGGAGGGCACGCCTATGTTCTTCAGCTACCTCTGTGAAATAGGATGGTATAGCCGTTAACCACAGCATGCAACTCAGAAAATGACTCATGAGGGGCTCCGTGAGTGCCAGATATGCTTTCCAGATCTCCACATAATGATATTTAGTGTTCCACTGGTAGGCTTATTATACAACTCTTGTCCCTAATGGAGAAAAAAATCTGGCTTAAGTAGTATAGTTACAGACATGATTGTCAAAATGTGGAATTCTGCTTGCACAAATGTACCAGCCCTCCTGCCTGACCTGTTGCCTCAACTTCTGTCCCATTGCAATAACTACTCAGCAAATCATGCTAGCATAAGCCATAATCTGATACTGACTATAGCTCTTCCTTTATTTCCTATTATTGAGTTAATATAATCATCATCGAGCTAGTAATAATTTTCTGAATAATGAGGTGACAGAAGAGTCAACTTCTTTCATGGGTTTTGGGGTAAGGGTGGGGGCCCCTTTGTTTGCCTAAGGCAGTCTGATAGTGGTTTGAGGGTTAGATGTTTTTTTTCCTTAGGAGCTGGAAGAGGTTTGTGCTAAAACTGAAATATGATCTGTTCTTTATGAAATAGCCAAGACTAGTTCTGCCACAGAAGTCTTGTTTTCAAAACTCTTCTATACCCTGTGGTAGGGAAAGGGAACAAATGATTTTACAATTTAAAAAATCTGTAAGGTTGCAATACATCAAACAACTAAACTAAAAGTCTATCTCTTAATCCCTTATAGTAATAATATTCTTTAAAATAATATTCAACAGCCATAGGTTAGGACCCATTGGGACTCTAGTTCTGGATTGACCTTAATTCTTAATAAATAGTAGGACTTCACTGATTTGGACTCATCAGAAGAAGTTCAGTAAGAAGATGATTTATAGATTAGTCGAAGACTTAGTCCAAGTATTTTTATGCCTATTAGTATTTGTTACATTGTACTAAATAGAACCATATTTTTCACATAAACAATTACCATGCTTTTATCTTCTACAAGCTTTATGTAAGTCAGATATAGCCTTATAAACTTCTTTGTATTATTGTATTTTGTAAATTGTATCATAGTATATTATTTCCCTGGAACTACTGTAACTACCACAAACTGGATGGCTTACAACAAATGTATTCTCTCACAGTTTCGGAGGCTTGAAGCCTGAGATTAAGATGCCAGTGAGCTGCACTCCCTCCAGAGGCTCTAAGGAAGAGTCCTCCTCCCTGACCTGTGTGGCTCAGTTGGTTGGGCCTTGTTCCACAAAGCCAAAGACTGTCAGTTTGATTCCTGGTCCTGATCAGGCGGGTCAGGGCACATGCCTGAGTTGTGGGTTCGGTCCCTGGGTTGGGCCTCGTGCAAGAAACAACCACATCAATGCAAATTTACTATGATTGTGGGAGGACCTAAAAAATACTGTCTTTCTCCCAGATCAAAAGGATATCTTTTCCACTCTAGATATTTACATTTAAAATGTAAATGTAAACATCCCTTGCAACTATTATGTAGCTTGAGGGTATACTGGGTTCATGGTAAGTATTGTGCTTCATGAATATGCAAAGCAGTTAGCAATGTTTTATGCCTTTATTGCTTTCTTGATATGAGGCTGGGAAAACCATGGGAGGGCATTCCCTCCCCCATTCCTGGATGGCTGCAATTTCATAATTGGAAATTTGTTTCCCTGCCCTAGGGCTTTCCTTGCAGGAGTGATGCCAGATTCATCTCTATTAGCCTTTTACTTAGGTGTGTGTATGCACGCGCGGGTGTTCATGCAAGAGAGGGAGAGAGAAGGAGATAGAGGGAGAGGGTGAGGGAGAGAGGGAGAAGCAGTGGGGGGCGGTGGTTAGGTCTGTCTCATTCACTCAGAGTAACACAGTTTGTTGGGGAGAAAGGCTCTGAGAGGAATGGGCAGTCGGTTTAGCATTTTCTCTTCAGAGGTGACTGAATAGACTGGAAACCCTAGAGGAAAGTGAAGACAGGAAAAGAAAAGTAAAGGGAGCACACCCAAAGTTGACATCTCTTGTAATTTCTTAAACTTAACTCTGCTCTTTGACAGTCATTAAGCGGCAAGAATGTCACCTAAGGGATATAATAAAGGCGCAGATGACAAAGAGGACACGGCTTACAGAGGCGTTCCAAGTTTTTCCTTAATTTTTTTGAATAGCCTTTGGTCTAAAAACTTTATATAGAATGTTGGAACTCTTTGGAAAATTCAACATCTTGTGAATCGACAATACCTGTTGTCTGACTTCACAAAGGACTCTGGCCCCCACACCTTGCTTTGAGCCATCTGCTGGCCATGTCTCTGCTCTCTAATGGGTACCCTATTTCATAGGAGAATCTATCCAGGGTGAATGGAGTTTTGCTGATTAACTCATCTATTTTTGCTTAGAACCAAAGACATATGCATGCCTGGGCTCATTGGCTGGAGTTAGCTGTGCTATTCACAGTAGTGGACCAGAGTAAACCTACTCACCCATCTGTACAGAGATTTAACCTGCTGTTTTCTAACTAACAGTTTTATTGAGATAAAACTGATATAGCATAGTGTTCACTCATTCCAGGTATAGATATTAACCTACCATTTAAGGCCTCATTGGCTTGCTTTAACCAAGAGATGTAACTGAGAATGGCCATTCTATGGAATCAGCCAAATGTTTATTCACACACAAAAAAATAGAGTAGTGAGACCATTTTACATTTATACAGTGCTTGAGAGTTTTTGAATTACATTTTGAAGACTTTCACGACATTGTGTTTCTCATGGGTATTTACTATATTCGGTGAGACTGGGTGACTTAACCAAAGCTATACATCTGAACATTTAAATTCAGGGCAAAATATAGTAATTCCTTACAGGAGAGAAACAAACAGGTGATACAGAAATACACAGTACTGAGAAATCAGCTCTGACCGAAGAAGGCATTGGGATTTCGTGGCAGTAGTAGGCATGAGAGCAGATCATCCAGAGGCTGGTATTCAAGCAAGACCTTGAGAGATGGGTGGGATTTCAACAGAGTAGATGCAAATGACAGAGAAGACTGTAAGCAACATCATGGGGTGAGAAAGTCCAAGGTATATCCAGAAAAAGTGAATAGAGGCCGTGTCCTAGAGGGCATTGAAAACCGGGCTGGGAGTTCGGAGTTGCCCACATGGACCGTGGGAGACAGCTGAAGGTTTCTGAGGGAGGGCCACTGTGATCAGAGCAGTGGAGATCATTTTGAATCAGCGGTAATGCCAGCAGG